TACTTGGCTGCACAGCCTGTCGCTGCTGGCACTTGAACTTGTTTTGCTCCCTCAGCATGTTGCTGCCCTGCCCTCGTGCCTCGAGGGGTAGGAGTGAGTGCCAGGGCCTGAGCCAGTCTGGTTGGGGCTGGGGGAAGGAACTGAGTGAAAAGTGAGCCTTCCATAGTGAGGGGAGAGATGAGGCTTGCTCAGGGTGTGCATTTTTTGGGTCTTGATGTCAGGCTGGAGCTCGTGGTGTGGGTGGCAGCTCAGGGTGCACTGGATTTGGCAGCCCTGGATCCCAGCTGGCCCATGTGCTGTACTGCTTTAAAGGCTGTTTTGGCTGATTTTTGCCTTGAATTAGTCAGCTTGGCTGCTTGATCCTTCTGTTATCAGCCTGGTAGTTGGGAATACAAGAGCCTGCTGGTGCCAGGGTGAAGGGAGCACCTTTGTTCCTGCTGGAGGCAGAAAAACCCTGGCAGAGCTTGATTTAAAGGTGCCAAATCTTCCTGCTCTACTTCCAGCCACAGCATGAGGTGTGGGGCTGTCCCTGTGTGCACCAGGTGCTGCAGCCCCGATGGCAGCTGAGGTCATGGGACCCCCAAGCCATGACTTTTCCCCATCGGTGCCCCAAGGCAGACAGGGAGGAGGGCAGGGAGCAGCTGGGGAGGGGGGATTAGGGGGGGCAGGGCTGCTGTGCTTTCTATCTGTGCTGCAGGGGCATCTGAGGTCACTTCTCGCTTTGTTCCTTGTTTCTGGTTGGGAAAAGTGTTGAGTAAGCTTTTCCTTGAGCTCTGCTTCTCCTTGTCCTCGGGGCGGAGGGTCTGTGTCCCTTGTCCCTTTAAAGGGCCAGGACAGCAGTGGGACCTCTGTTCTCCCTGTGTAAGCATGTGCATCTAAAGGGAATGGCCGTGGAGGGTCCCAGCAGCCTTGGGCACACAGTTTGGACCCCGGAGGCTGCCAGCACCCTGTGGGTGACCCCTATGTCCACAGCAACACATCACCCCACAACTGATCTGATGCAACTTCCAGCCAGGAGGCAAACTGCTGTCTATGGGGTGGCTCCACCTGTGTGCAGGGGGCTGTGTATCACAAGAGGCACATGGCAGCCTTTAGACTTCCCAGAACACGGGAAAATCAAGCAAAAATAAATCCTTTCTGAGTAAGACAAGACAAGGCTTTTTGTCTGGCTGGTAAGCTGGAAAGCATGGCTGTGGCACTGCTCCAGGGCCTTCCTTGTCTCAGCAAACCCTTTTGGGTGCTGCTCACCCCCGAGATGCCTCAGGGCAGCAGCAGAGTCTCCTCAACTGCTGGTTCCCAGCAGAAGCCCCACATTTTTTTTTCCAAGCCTGCAGATTACAGTGTGGGCACACAGAGGTAAAGTCAATATTGCTGTATTTGCTTTTTGGTCTCGTGATCAGTGAGGGTCAAGCCCAACAACTATCCCCAGGCACCCAGGGGAGGAAGTGGCAGAGCACAGGTGCCAATCCTGCTCCCCTGCTTTTCAGCTGGGCACACTGATGATGCCCCTCCAACCTGGATGGAGGTTAAATTCATTCCCACATTGCTGCAAGGTGGGTTGGATTTACAACAGTGACTGCAGAACCTGTCTGTGGCTGCCCTTATGCCCATGGCTCCCTGTCCAGTGGAGCAAAACTGCCTGGAAACCCCCTGCTGAATTAAAGGGTGTTTTTCTGAATGTCTGTAAAGTGTCACAGACTCAGACTCCTTCTCTGGTGGGACTGAAGAAACAGGAACAGCCCCCCAGATGTGCTCCCAGGCAGCTTCATGGTACTGCTGAGAGCAAAGCCTTTGGCACTGCCTTGTTTGCTTGGGCTTGAAAGGCTTTTAGTGCCTTTCTTGCACCTCCACAGCATTCAGACATATTTAGGAAAAGCATCTGACAGCCAGGCAAGTTTATTTTTGTTCTCTTTCCATCTCCACTGCTGTGGGTGTCAGTCTCTTTTCCCAAGTAACAAGTGATGAGAGAAAACTCTCCCTCCACAATTCTATGAAATGGCCTCAAATTGTGCTGGGGAGGTTTGGATTGGATATCAGGACAAATTTCCTCACTGAAAGAATTATCAAGCATGAGAACAGGCTGCCCAGGGCAGTGGAGCCACCATCCCCGGAGGGATTTAAAAGACCTGTAGATGTGGCACTTGGGGATGTGGGTTAGAGGTGGGATTGGCAGAGCTGGGGAATGGTTGGACTCAATGGTCTCAGCAGGTTTTTCCAATCCCAGCAATTCTATGATTCCAGCTGACTTCCTGTGTCTTGTGTCATCCTGCTGCCTGCTGTGGTAGGACAGCAAGAGAGACACAGCAGTAGAAACAAGACAAGCAAAGGGGTTTCCTATACACTATACCCCTCCCTTATCATCCTCCCCCTTTCCACAGGGTTGCTATCAGAGGGGCAATCCCATCTCCCATGGCACCAACTCCACTGAGATTGTCATCCCCCCTCTGCTCCCCCAGAGGTGTTTTGACTTTTGATTAACTCACATACTTGGTCAAAAACTCACAGGTTTCTGCTCACTCTCATCCCTTGCAGTGCCCCTTGTACCACCCCGCTGCCTCTGGTGAGAAATATTTCCTTTCATTCCCTGCCTCTTGCTGCTTGGGGTTGTTTTGTTGTTTTCTTTTTTCCTCCAACAGTTTTGCTTCCCCCTCACCCTTCAAAGGCTGATGTGGGATCTTAAAAATAGAAATGAGCTGTGCAGCTCAAAGACCTTGCATTAGCCTGACACTGTTTCCACATGCCATTGGGTCAAGGCTCCAATCCTTGAATGCACAAACAGGGCACATGCCAGGCTGCAAACAGAGCAGCAGAATGGCTGTAACAGCAGGATTTGCAGTGCCCACTCCAGAGGGGTCCGTGAAAGACTGGGGCCACACCATCCCTGCCTTTGTGCAATGGATTTAAGGAAAAGCCTGGTCCAGTTTCGGGGGGAGCTGCAGTGCCCAGCCCAGGCTGAGATCCTGAGAGTAGATGGGAAAATTTGGGCTCCCCCCACCCCCACCAACTCTGTCTACTTTTAGAAAGCAAATAATGACTCGGAGAAATGCCAAAACCCAGCAGACTGTGCTGGAGGGCAAACCCAGGTAATGGATCAGCTTTTCATGCAGCAGAGGAGGAGGAGGAGGAGGAAAGAAAAGCTGCTGTGGGCAGCACTGTGTCATGATGCCCCCATTTCCCTGCTCCACATCCCCATCAGGTCACTGCAGCAGCTGAGTGAGCTGTTTTGGAGCCATGTGTCTGATGACCTGGTGCAGGCAGGAGGCTGCCTGCAGCCCTGCCAGCCCCACTGGCCTCTCTAGGTATCCCACCATGGACCATGGTGTCCCACACCAGCCCCATCGCCCTGTGCCAGCCCCAGCACCCCGTCACCCCATGCACACCCTTCTCTTTCTGGTTATTTTTGAGCTCCATCTGGTGGCAACCAGACCAGCAAATTGAATGTCTTCCTATTTCTGCAACCTGGTCTAGTGGAAGGTGTTCCTGCCCACGGCAACAAGGTTGGAATAAGGTGGTCTTGAAGGTCCTTTCCAACCCAAATCTTTCTATGATTCTATGCTGCAGCAGCCCCACTGTGCCTGTGCCACAGGTGTCCCTGCCCTTCCTCGGTGTGCCATGAACTCCTCACCGGCCAGACACAACTTCGGTCTTTATTTTCTTGCAGGACCTGACTGTGCATAGATGTTCTCTCTGCTCAAGTGTTTGATCAGGCTGAAAAATCCTTGTACAAATTAGGGTTTCCTCTTGCAACCGTGTCCAAAACCCAACCTGTTGCTTTTTCCACCTGGGAACACTCGAACCGGGAGCTGCCGCCTTCCCAGGGCACGGCTGCAGTTCCATGGGCTCAGCAACCGCCTCACCCTCGCTCGGAAGCATGAGCAGAGCAGGATTCATCCCTCCCCTAAACCACATTCCTGCCTCCCCTTTCCAGGCCCCTCGTGCACTGAGACTTGCTCAATTAACAGCCAGACTTGTTTCCGCCGTTCCACACAGCACGGACACTGCCCAGGCGTGGGGAGTGTTGCATAAACTTTATTAACTTTATAAATTCCAACACAGCTGTTGGCTCAGTCCCAGCAGCCACCTGCAAACAGGCAAAATAGGCTCATCAGGAGGAATTCAGTGCCAGCTGCTTTTCACCCACAGCACTTCGTGCTCCTGCCACCAGTGCCATGAGTGTGTTAGTGCTCGAGCAGCCTCACTCAGGCCACCCCGGAGAGGCTGCCTGCACCAGTCTGGAGTCTTGGCATTGCTCCCAGTACTGCTTTTCCATGAGTCCTTCCACTGCTGCCAAGGACAGCCTGGCCTCTGAGAGTGTGCATGGGCAAGATGGGCAACAGGGACTTGGCTGGAGCAAATGCTCCCCCGGCTTGGGAGGGACCAGAGGCTCAAGGTTGCCCTGTAATGCTGTGCCCTGGGATCAGTGAGGAGCTGGGGGTGGTGGGATCATCTCCTGGCTTTGCACCAAGGGTGGGGTAAAGAGCAAAACTCTCTTTTGAGTGAAGCAGTTTTACCTTCCCTGCCTGCACCTGGGATAAGAAGACATTAGATAATTTATCCCAAACATATATTTTTCTTGGAATTAACACACGATGGTGAGTGAGACAAGGATCCAGAGCAGAGCAGCCCAGAGAGGAGCTGCCTGTGCAGGGTTCTCAGGGCAAGCAGGGCTGCTGGCTGGGAAAGGGCTGGCAGAGGCACACTGGGGTTTAGTGTGTACCTGGATGAACAGAGTCCAAAGAGACAAAAGAATGGTTATATATGTAGTTCCAAGAGTGGGACTGGTTGCAAACCATTGCTTCCTTGAACCTATCCTTGATGGGTTCCTTGAACCCATCCCTGAAAGTGTTCACATCCAGCTTGGAAGGGGCTTGGAGCAACTTGGTTTAGTGGAAAGTGTCATTGCTCATGGCAGGGGGGTTGGAACAAGATGAACCATGAAGATCCCTTCCATCCCACATCAATCTATGATTCTTGGGAGGGAGCAGAGCGGTATGGTATGGACAGAGCATCCAGCAGTGCCCTGTGAGGACTCCCACGGATGGATGCACACACATTTATTGATAAATACACTGGACACACACTACAAGAAAAATCAAGCGGAGCCACAGCTGAACATGAACTGCAAACCTTCATGTTGGTGTGGGGAGTGGCAGGGACCTCCCACCCTACTGGCTGAATGAAGATGTAAACTCTGGGTGATGCCTCTGCTACCATGGGGTTTCTCCAGACTGCTACACAGCCAAGTGCTGGCAACGAGTTCTCCACAAGTCATTGCCTTTTCCCTTTGCCACCTCCCTGCATCCTGACTGCGAGGGACCATGGACTGTTTTTGGGGGGGATGTGCTTTCCTTGTAGCCCTGTCAAAGGGCAAACTAGCAGAAAGGAACTTCTTGGCAAGAGCTGGCCTGGAGGGTCTTGTGCAGGAAGGATGGTGGGAAGGGGTCCCTCAGGAGAGGGAGCTGAGCAGCCTTCTGTAAATAAAGCCCAGCTTCTCCCGCAGGGCCAGGAAGGTGGGACGCTCCTCTGTGTTCCCACTCCAGCATTCCAGCATGATGCTGTAGATCTCAGGAGGGCAGGAGCTGGGCCGGGGAAGGCGGTAGCCCCTGGTGATTTGCCGTACAGTTTCTTGGTTTGTCATCCCTGCAAAGAAGGAGAAGATTGCCCTGAAGGATGTGGGAGATCCTCCAGCCCATACCACCTTCCTTCCCCCAGCTCCTGCACCCACTCTACAACCACAGCAAATCCCTGTAAACCATGCCTAGAGTGGACAATAACTTGCTCATGCTCCAGGAGCTGCTTCCACATCCCTTGTGGAAGGGACAATACAATAATTCATGACACATTGGCTCTTGGGGACCATGGGCAAGCTGCCCAGCACGTGGATGGAGGGCACAGGAGTGTGCTGGCAGCCCTACCTTCATACGGGATCTGTCCATAGGTGAAGACTTCATAGAGCAGAATCCCGTAGGACCAGACATCGGACTTGAGGGAGTAGGTGCGGTAGTTGGCTGCCTCTGGGGCTGTCCACTTCACCGGGATTTTAGTGCTGCTGCTGGTGGAATAAATGTCATCCTGAAAAGCAATGGGAGATGGGACATGAGGGATGGGATGATCAACACAGAAACTGCTTTTGGGGCTTTGCTGGAGCTGCAGATTGGGAAAGAGGATGGCAGGGAACAGCTGCAGCACGGGGCAGCTTGGTGGCCCAGGGTAATGGGACTGACCTTGAGGAGCCGGGCAAGTCCAAAATCAGCAATTTTGCAGGTGAGTTCCTCTCCCACCAGGATGTTTCGGGCTGCCAGATCCCGGTGGACAATGTGCTTCTCCTCCAGGTACCTCATCCCATCTGCCACTTGGCAGGCGATGTTGAGCAGGTGGGAGGTGCCCAGGGACTTCCCTTCAGGACCTATTAATCCAGATGATCCAAGAGTTGGGGGCAATCTACCAACATCTGTCCTGGGTGTTCTGGTTTGGAGAGAGACCCTGTGCCGGCAATGTGGGACTAGGGGAGCATGTAAAACCTTGAATTGGAGGTCCTGGCTAACTGTCCTGGTGGTACTGTTTGGGAAGTTCAGCACAGCCATGCGCTCCTCAGGAATGGAGCTCTGCAACGAAGATGCAGATATTCATGGCTTGTTCAAAGCTAAAGGTGACCTTCTGCCATGCAAATCTCCCACCAGGCTTCTCAACCTGTTGTGCCTGTGAGCTCCAGCTCCTCTGGCACCAAATGCTTCTGGAGCCCTAACCAAAAACGAGGCCAGTGTGGGTGGGAGGAGGTGTACTCAGTAGAAAAACAGGTCTCAGTGGGAGCAGTTGTTTCCTTTCAAGACTGATTACTGCATCAGGAAAAGAAAGGCCAAGAAAAATAACCTGATGGTAGGATGATGAGTGGATCATGGCCTCATGAGCTCTGCACATGAACAAACCCATGGGGAGGTTTGGCTATTTCATTTCCAAAGAAGGTGGAGTTGCCCAAGCACAGCAGTAGGATTTGTGTGCACTGGTGGGAGCAGGCAGACCATGGGTGGGTAAAGAAGGAGAAATGAAGGTCCCTACCAGCATTCTTGGGCTCCCAGGGACTGATATGGACCCAGCCCACATGGACACCAGACCATGTTTTTGGGTCTTGGGGTCACCCAAGACCGTCTCCATCAAGTGCCCATGGATTGATCTGTGTTGCCACTAATCTGAAAATGACCAAAACCAGATTGGTGCTCTCTTATGGTCCCCATTCAGATTCACAGGGCACAGAAAGCACCCCCAGACCAGCAGTGCCCCAGGAGCTCTCTCCCCGTGGCGCTGGCACGGTACTCACTGTTGAGGTAGCTGTGGAGGTTGCCTTTGCGCATGAGCTCAGTGATGATGTACACGGGCTCATCCAGCGAGCAGACAGCATGCAGCTGGATCAGCTTCTCATGCCTCAGGCGCTTCAGGTTCTGAATCTCCTTGGTGAAGTCTTCTGCTTTCATGTCAGCTGGGTGAGAAAGCCAACACGGCCATTGTGAGCTACTGTCTCATGTGGCTGTTGGCACCTCAGCACCTCCAACTTGGATAAGGACCTTTATCCTCCCTGCAGCCCACCCCTGCCTTCAAAGCTTATGTCTGCACAAACTGTGTCTCAGACCCAAACAGCCAAGAGGTGTTTTCCACGGGGCATTGCATCCCATTGTCACAAACCCATTTGACTTGACATGATCCCAAACCCACTGACTGCAGCCATTTTATAGTGATGCAGCCCAAGCTTAGGTCTTCCCACAGAAACAGTCCAGTGGCTCCTTGCCAGGTCCTACCATAATTTACCTGATAAAACAGTCACAGTGACCAAGAGGATGAGGAAACAAAAGAGTGTGACTGATGTGGCAGTGAAGGACAGACCCAGCTGGCCGCTGTTAACATCTGATTCTCCACATACCTTTTATGATCTTGATGGCCACTGGCACCGTGTTCCTCCACAGCCCTTCCCACACCTCTCCAAAGTAGCCCTCTCCCAGCTTCCTCCGCAGGGTGAACTCCCAGCGCGGGCGCTCCCAGCCATCCCTCTCAGGGGGGGTCTGCCAAATGGACATGGAATGACACTCTTGGAGCAGCCAGCCAGGCAGGACCTGCTGTGGAGCCTGTACCAGCTTTTGGTGGCCCACAGAGCAGGACATGATGCTGCCCCATCTGTGTGCACAGGGGCTGCAGCCCGAGCATTGCTTTTCCCTCTGCTAAAAGTTCACAAAGCACGTGGGGCATCATCTGCCTGACCCCTACTGGGAGCCCAAGTGTGCAAGGGGGAGATTTGGGAGACTACATGAAATATCAGGAGTTCAAGTCATAATTCACTCCTAATCAGCCTTCAAAAGTGGCTTTTTTCCATTTCCACAAATAAATAAAAATAATTAAATTAATATTATTGCGTAATATGGCTGATTTAGACTTCAGCTCTTTAGGAATTTCTTTTATACTACACCTTTCAGTTTCACTCTTGGATTATTCACATGTTTAATTGCTATTTCTAAGTCGTAATCAGTGGATGGAATTCTAATCAGGAAATGAGTTGGCAATTTGGGATTAATACTGTAATTAGATTTATGAGTGCCACACTAATTGGTATGAAAACTATATAAAAACAATGTGTTGGTCTTATATTTTCAGGAAAAAATTGGAAGCACAGGTATTTCCAGAATCAGCATTGAAGGGATTTGTAACAACTTGGTTTCTAGTCTTTGAGATGGAGAAGACATTTCAGAAGATTCTGTTAATTTTTCCCAGTCAAAAATCCATAGAAATGCCATGCCCAGCCTTGGCGTGGCTGATAAAAGGTGATGCTGGCAGCAACACTAAAGGTGGGCTTTAAATTTAGTTTAATAAAGCTCAAATCCCAAATGGATAGACTAATTATTTCTGTTTTCCCTAGTCTTTCTTTCCTTTTTTTCCATCCTGCTCATCCCTGGGAGCCGGGCTGCTCCATGCCACTGGCGTACGCACCGCGGGGCTGCAGGGCTGCAGCAAAGGGCTCTGGATGACCTTCCAGTGCTCCATGTAGAAGGCGAGGAGCTCCTCCATGTTGGGGAAGGGGTGTCCCTTCTGGATGTAGAGGCTGCCCCTGGGGCTCTTGCAGATTCGGAAGTGGCTGACCTTGGTGTGGTTGCGCACTGTGGGGAAGTCCAGGTTGGGGAAAACTCAACCCATGCAATCAACAGCTCCTTCCCACCTTCCTGCTGACTTCACCCTCTCTCCTTTCCAGACACCCAGTCTTTTAATCATCCTGAAGCAACACAACTCGCCCCTGGAGTGTTATATCCCAATCCCCACATCCCTTCTCTTCCCACCTCCGGCTCAGAGGACTCCTGCCCGTGGGTGAGCTGGGCTCCTTTGGACCACAGAGGTGATGTTTTTTTATTAGCGATTGTTTCCTGTGGAAATGGCCTGCTCAGAGAGCAGCAGAGCTGCTCAAGGTGGATAAACCAGTGGCAGCTGGGACTCCCAGAGCCTGAGGACCCATGGTGGGATGGGGGGTTTTCCATGAATTTCTCAGGATTGCTTTTTTGTGGGTAGGACCAGACTGTAACAGCACTGCCTGGTCCAAACCCCTCTGAATTCAGATTTTGGTCTGTGCAGCCCAGGCCCTGATAATCTGGAGTGGCAGCATATTTTTTAACAACTTCGGATGACAAAAGCTGTTGGAATGAAATCCTGGGAGTTAGTGCCATGACACCATCATTAAGTCGCGGGGAAATGTTTACAGCTTTCCTACCCCGGACGGGAGCCATGCACTTTCCTTTACCACAGTAATTCTGCAATCCAGCCCTTCTCTGTTAGCTTTGTGCTCTCAGAAAGCAGCTGGTTCACTTCAATAAGGTGCTGAAAAGTGCTTTAAATTTATTCCCTTGTTTTTCACCCCATGCTGACCAAGCCAGGAGCTGCCTTAAGGAACTGGTTCCTTTCCCTGTGCTAATTTTCTCTGGATAATTGCCACAAAGTCACCTGAGAGAGAGTATTCGCCCTTGCTGCTCTCACTGTCCCGGACAAGGAAGGAGCCGTGCTGGTTGGGAGGCGAGAGGAGGAGCTGTTCCGCTTCGTTTCGGCTAATCCTGCTGAAGTACCAGCTGGGGAGCAGAGCAGAGGGGTCAGTGCAGTGTAAGGGGATGGTGCATGGATGGAGCTGCATTCATATCGGGGCATCCTGCACCTTCTGAGCCAGGGAGGGGGAGCAGCTCCTGGGATCCCACTTTTTGCTCATCCTTGCAGCCACCAAGCCAGTGGCACAGCAGCCAGTCCGTGTCTTAGAACCTGTAAATGTGGCTGCCTGCATCAGGGCTGTTTCATTGAGTGGGTTCTGCAGGCACTTGCTGCAGTTTATTGCAGCTTACTGACTGCAAACCATTTCATAGAATCAGAGAATCCAAGAATGGTTTGGGTTGGAAGGGACCTTAAAACTCATCTCACTCCACCCCTCTTGCCATGGACAGGGACGCCTTCCACTAGACCAGGTTGCTCAATGCCCCATCCCACCTGGCTTTGAACGCTGCCAGGGATGGGGCATTTCCTCCATCAGCGTCTGAACACCACTGTACTGAGCTGTCCAGGTCTCAGCCCCATCCCAAACCCAGGAGGTTTATGCCCATGGCTCAGTGCAGCACCTTGGCCGACAGCCTGTGGTGAATGAAGCAACAACCATCTGGTGCTGTGTGCAGGATGCTCTGGTGGGGTTATACCTGTGTCCTGCCACGAGAGCAACACCTGCAGGCACAGGATCACTTTGCACTTCTTGACCTGCGGTTTATAGACAGAAACAGCTCTAAGCCCATGAGGGAAATGGCATCAGTAAAAACATCTGGTAGTGCTGGTTGGGGACTTCACAGCACCAAGCCGGGGGGAGGATGGGAGAACCAGCCAAACCCCTCTGATGTGTCACAGCACTGAGATTCATCACTGACTCCCCATCAAGGAAAGGCAGGTTGGCTGGTTGCGTCCCGATGCAGCGGGATGCACGGGAGCGTGTGGAACCCCATCCAGCCTAAGGCAACCAAGACGTGAGAAGCTGAAGGTTTCGTCATTAGCTGGGATCGCCAGCGTCTGAGAAGCCGTGCAGGAAATTATATGTGATGGGGTTACAGCAGCTGAACAAATTACCACCCAGCTCCGACCTGCGGCTCCGCGGAGTCTGTGTGCTCGTTACTGCCATCCGCCCTCCCAGCCTCGGCATCCTCCTCACCCCTGTCTTCGGGACGGGGCTGGGCACCAGCTGTGCAAGGCTGGTGCACACACACGTGCACACAAACACATAGATGTGCACACAAACACATAGATGTGCACACAAACACCCACGCTCCGCTGTAGCCTGTCCAACTGTCCCCTCAAAGGTCACGCAGGGAAGGTCTCTCCCATCCCACCGGCTGCCAGCATTGCCTCATCGCATTGGGGACCCTTCCCAGGCTTCTCCCGCTCCTCTCTTTCACCCCCACTCACACAGCACAGGGCCAGCACAGGGGTCTCCAGGGACACACCCGCCCCAGCCCTGCGCTCCCCGGCACTCGGCGTGACTCAGGGCCAGGAGCAGAGGGAACAGCAGTGTCTCGGGGCGCTTTGCCCGACATGTCGGGACTAGGCTGCCTTATACAACGATGAACCTGGGCTTTCCCCAGCTGACAGAAGGCTGAGACATCACCCCGAGCTCCGTGTCGGCTGGGAGAGGCAGCCCCCAGCTCCGGATAAGCAGGAGTCAGATGGCAGCAGCAGCAGCACTACATCTTGGCCCTACACATCTCTGGGCTTCCTGGCTCGTACCAACCGAAACTGCTTCCTCCCATGCTCCCGAGCCCTTTGGAGCTGGCAGGGCTCAGGTACAAGTTTTCCCAGCTCCCTCCCTCCCTGCTGCCTCCCCTTTAATGCAGGACAAGAGGGAGAGCAGCCGGAGCAAGTAGGAGCCTGTTTATTTGGCACCATAGCTGCAACCTGTGCCCACCACCACACCGCATCCCAGCCCAGAAACACCCCATCCTGTGCGAGGGTGATGCGGCCGGGAAGGGGCACCGGCACCTCTTCCCCTTGGCACATCCCCCAAATCTCTCTTGCTGTGCCGAATACCTCTCCACCACACTACCACGAGCTCCAGGAGTTCCAGGACCGGGATGCCCAGGGCAAGGTAGATCCCTGCTCAGTCCCAGCACCACTGATGGCAAAAGCAGGGGACGAGGAGCTCGTTGTCCCCATCGCTGCGGAGAATGAGCGCTGCCTTTCCCTGCACAGGGATGTGCTACCCAGGTCCAGCCCCAACCCCCTAGGGATCCAGAGCATCGGATACTTACGGGCGGTGAGCTGAGGTGCCCTGGCTGAGGTTGGCCACGTAGGCAGCAGGGACGTAGCCCATGGCCGGCTCCCCCAGAAGCCTCCGGGCTAACACATACTCCCCCTCTTCTCTGAGGACACGCAGTTTGTCCCCTGCGCTTACGCTCAGTTCCTCGGAGCTCCGGGCTGTGAAAGCGTATAAAGCGATACAGAGAGAAGACTTGGGGATGAAGGAAATGGAGTTCGGCTCCGAGTGCAGCGAAACGGAATCAGAACCAAGATACCCCAGGGAGCAGCTCTCCGTCACGGCACGGGGACGGAGCTTGTTCCAGAAGGATGTCAGGAAGCTCAAGCGCTTCCTGACAAACTGCTCCATCCCCGGTGATGCGGTGGGTGCGGTGGGTTATGCCACCGCGCTTCGGGGGGCCGGAGGAAGGGGTGATCCCGGGCTCATGCTGCCGGCCGGGCAGCTCATCCTGCCGCCCCGCGTTCTTCGCACGCGTCTGGGCGCTCGCCGGCCCTTCCCGGCGAACTTCCTATTTCTGAAAGTGAAACTGGTTCATCTGGTGAGACGAGTCTGCAGGCGGGATGAGTCTGCAGGCAGGAGTCCCACGCTCAGACCCACGGGCACATCTGGGAGACGGGCACAGCTGGAGCAGGGCTCGCCGCTCTCGAAGAAGGAGAATGGCTGTTGTTTTATCTATTAATTATTTTAAAGTGTGCTCTTTGCTTGTTACCAGAGCACCATAAACACAGCTCTCTGTTGTTCAAGCAGCTCTTGTCACAAGTGGCTGACTCCAGCTAATATTCTTCATCTCACTTGTGTGGGAGGATATTTTCTTTTTTCCATAGGACAATAATTGCATCCGCAAACACGAGGGAGTTAAAACAGAATTAAGGAAATAACTTCAGAAGAGATCTGAAGTGTTTGGATATTTCCTGGGTGGATATTGTGGGGTTTATAACACAGGATCCTTTCTTCCTTCGGTCTACAATGACCTCCCAGCGTTACCACACTAAAATATTTGCCTCCTCCCACTAATTCCCCCTTGCACAGGACCTCTAGGGAATCCCCTTCCCAGTTCCACTGGGATCTGCTGCTCTCCCTCAGCCTCCACCAGAGGTGAGTCCTGTCCAGTCTCAGAAGGCCCTTGCCTGATGCAGGGGTTGGATCAGCCTCAGGCACCTGCAAGGCATCCAGAGCTGAGCCCTGACACACAACCCCCAGCTCCAGATGTGTCAGCACACCCACCCTCCCCCAGACCTGGTCACACTCATACACTGACATGCTCCAACCACAGCCATCAGCCAAAGGACAGATTCCCCCCTCACATCTTCCTGAAGCAGCCTGAACATCACTGCTCTGGTGAGAAATCCCAACTGCAACCCCCCAGCCCCTGCCTGGACTTTGTCATTTAACTGTTCCATCTAATTAGCGGGAGTTTTGTGCCTGGTAAATCCACTCCTGGCTCTGAGACCATTATTTTGATCCTACTCTTCTTGCAGTTGGTCTGGGTAGCTCATTTTGGGTGTGTAGCTGGGATTTGAAAGAGGCTGCTCAAAAAGAAATACAGGAAGTTAATTGTAGGGGTCTGGGCTGCAGACTGCAACTGGGTGGTGTATGAGGAACTAGCTGAACCCATCCCTGGGCCAGAAGCTCTAGATCTGCTGTGTCCTGCATCCTGGGTGTCCCATGATGGCCAAACAACCTGCAAAAATGCCTTGCCCTCGGTGCCACACAGGGATGTGTAATGTTTCTGTGCATTTTTCCCACCTAAGCATTAGGAAGGGAACTGGGGATGGAGCACAGAAGGACTTGCAACCCAAAGGGAAGGGACATCCCCTCTGCTGTCCTTCTGCAGCGCTTGTGACAAGTCTGCTCCTCATGTCACGCTCCATCAGGAGCAAAATGGGCTGCTTGGTTATGCATTGCTGATAAGATCCAGCATGGAATGTCTATGCCTTAGTGTTTAGAAAGAGGACTTCTGGTGTGCAGGAGACTGGAGACTGATTTACCTTTATTGACCTTTGCCAGATTAGATTCTCTAGTGGTACAAGTGATAGACAAGTGCAGCTGATTTATAACACGCAAGGCTTTGGATGTTGATTTGCACCTAAATGAAAGAGTACTTCAAAATGACAAACATCCCTGAGGACTAAATACTGCCTCTGAGCTGAACCTACCAGACATGCACAACACAGACTCATCCCTGCAAACCTCTGTCTGCACAGGGCACACATGCATGGCTCAGTCCCACGTCAGTAAAGAGATAATAAATCATGACCACTTTCTAGTATCTTCTTTTTATTTTCCTCTTAAGTTCCAGGAGCATTCCTGCTGCTTTAAATCCCCTTTGGTACTATAAAACACCTAAAAATAAAATTAAAAAAAAATAAAGAAGAAAAAGCACGTTCATAGAAGTTTCTGGTCCTCGTGCTGTGGGAAGGCTGGTGGGAGGACACAGGAAAAGTGAGAAAGATAAGGAAGGCACAGATATCTGATGGATCAAGTATTTTATCTTCAAGTCCCTGTGACCAGCTTACAAGGAGGTATTAAAAACCAATCTGTCCACAGATTTGGGGCTGTGGTGGATACACAGGGACTTGAGTTCTAGCACCACTAAAAAGCACCTCCAAAGAGCAATGAAACCAGAAGACATGTGCTGTAGATCTGGCTGCACAGTCCTGGTTTGGTTGCAGAGCACCTGGGAGCCATAAACACAAACAGCACTTTGCATTCACCCCTGTGTCAAACACTACAGCATGTCCTGCCAGCCTAATTGACAGAAACCAGCAGCTCCCCTCCACTAATGAGAGCGCCCATTACATCTAATTAGCTGAGGTTCTGTTCCAGGTCCTGTTACGTTTACACTTGAAATACATCTTCCAGCAAAGAGCCTTTTGGGAGGGAAAAAAAAGGAAGAGAAACATAATTCCAATTAAACTCTGAAAGGGGCAGAGAGCTGGGGAATGCAGGTCATGCTGAGGAAAATGCTTTTGGACATTGGACATGTAACAGGAGGTCACTCGAGGGGTCACGTAACCAAGGATGTGCCACTTGTCACCAATGACTGGCAAAGCACAGAGGGTGATTGTGGGCAGCCACACCATGCCTGGCACCCTGTCCTGAAGCATCCAACCATCCAGAAGACTTCCCTGGGCTTTGGGTCACTTCCTCACCGCTGGCAGGGACTGCAAGCCCAGTCCAAACCCAGTCCTGAGGTTCCACTTGGTCTTTCTGATGGCATCAGAAGATGGATGGGGGTTTGGGCTTCCTGTTTATTTATCTTTTCTTTTTTCCTGATTTTTCCAGACATTTCCTGACACCACAGTGTATTTGAGGAAGGTTTTGCCTCTTAATAAATTGGTTCAGTTGGGTGCCCATAGGAATTTTCAGACATGTGGTGGGTGACGACAGTGGTGCGTGGGAAGAAGAGCAGAAAAGGGGCACTAAAGCAACTTCAATTAGTCTCCATTCCCCTGAGGGCTGTGGAAGAAAGAGGCATCTTGGTAGACTCTGGGCTGTCACCATCCAGGGCAGAGCCCATCCCCAGGAGGCTGACAAAGGCAGGAAGGATCCAGGGGCTGAGGGGCTCTGGGACAGTCAGTGCAGAGGGTTCAATACAGGCAAAAGTACAGTGGTCCTGGGATGGGGAGTGGCACAGGAGGTGTGAGAGGAGGCAGAGCTTCGTGGGGTCTTGTGGTGGCTTTCTGAGCCCTATAGGAGTGGGTTGGAGTGGTTGGTGGAGAGCAGGAGTGCAGGTCACAGGGCACCTGAAATGGCACAAGAAAGCAGAAAAGCTCTGTGGGAGGCAGCTGGAGGCAGAGAGAGCTGTTTGTGCAGTGTCTGGTTGGTCTGGAGCATGTAGGACTGCAGCAGAAAAACCCTTTAAACCCACAGTAATACTTTTCAGGGACCCCGTAAACCACAGAGTGCTTTTCAAGGATCTGAAATGATAGCAAGGAAAAGCCAATTCATATGTCACACTGCACTCTATGTCACACTTGTAAAGCAGAATCACTGACTGGAAAATCTGTAGGGACCAACACACCTAATTATGCTGGAAAACTGTGGCCAGCCTCTAGGTTTCTCCTTCTGCTTTCTGCTGAGATTATCAGCACAGACCAGCCTTTGCTTGCCCCATCCTGTCATCTAACTTCCAGAGGATGCTCCTTCTAGTACAGACTGCCTGGCAGAACAGCACTTACTGCTTATCTCCCCTGCTCCTGTCCCTGCAGTAATCATTTGCAACACATAAGAACCATTAACCACCTTCTCCAGACTGGCAGATGCCAGCAAGCTGTTCACCCTCTCTCTCAAGGCTGTAGGGATCTCCATGGAAAGAGGGATAAGGGAGCTCAGGCTGTGCTCTCCATGCCCCTGAACGCCTGGAGCAGAGGTCTGGCAGCTCCCTGCCAGGACCCTGCCATTGCTGAGCAGCAGCTGGAGTCCCCAGGCTGGCAGTGCTGACAGGGACTTTACACACACACCTCACAGATGTGCTGCCCTGGCTGGGGCTGAGCAAACAGGGGACTGGTGCCTCCAGAAGCAAAGTGCACAGTGACTCAGATGGTGAGGGGGAAATCTCTGCCAATATGTAAGCAAATGATGGATTGCTCCATCTGCCCAGATGTCCTTGTTACCCTGGGGAGGAACCAGTCCATCTACTCCATCACTGAGCTGTGTGATATCTCTCCCCACAAAGGTCCTTTGGAGGCTGTTGGATTTGGGGTTATGATATTAAGTGTTATTAGAAGAAACCTACCCAGAGTCCCAGGAGAATAGGCCCAAGAGACCTCACCCATCCCACCTGGTCCATCCTATACTTATGTCTTTCTCCATCTTTGCCAAACCGGTTCTTAAAAGACCTCCAGGAATGGATACGCCACCACGTCCCCAGACAACTCATTCCCGTGAGTCACTAATCATTACCAGCAGAAATGACTGTCTAACCTGCTGCACTTAAGCCTATTACTTCATGTCCCATTCATCACCACATTGCTCCATTCCTTTCTGCAACATCCTCTCCTGTTTGTGAACACTGCTGAGGTGTCCCATTGCACGCTCAGCAAATCCACATTGACCCCAGCCCAGAACAAACACACTGACCTTATTCAAAGAGGCAACATGATCATCTTTTTCTCCATTTGTCTCCAGTTTTCTTGACCTGTCCCTGTGTGCTGGTGTTCCTGTGCTGCCACCTCAGCTGGCTCTCTAGTGCGTTCACCTGGGGATGAGAAAGCAGCAGCTCAAAGAGGAGTCTGCACCACTGCACAGATAACCTTTAACCTGTCCCAAATACAAGGAGTCTGCACCACTGCACAGATAACCTTTAACCTGTCCCAAATACAAGGAGTCTGCACCACTGCACAGATAACCTTTAACCTGTCCCAAATACAAGGAGTCTGCACCACTGCACAGATAACCTTTAACCTGTCCCAAATACAAGGAATCTGCACCACTGCACAGATAATCTTTAACCTGTCCCAAATACAAGGAGTCTGCACCACTGCAGAGACAATCTTTAACTTGTCCCAAATACAAGAAAAAAATGCTGGTTCAAATTTTCACCAAGGTTCCATTTGCATTTTACCCTACAGTTGTAGAGGTCTGAGCTCACAGAGTTCAGCTTCATCTCTTCTCTCCCTATCCCCCCTCTTCTGTCCCTGCCACTAGTCCCCCTCTGATGGGTTGGTTGCTCTTGGCTCTGAAGGACACAAGAAGTCACAGGGGCTGCCCACAGCAAATAGGTAAATCTTACTCTTGGCTCTGAAGGAC